ATTGTAAGCGCATGGAATATGTATAAAGCACCTTCTCTGGAACGTCGTTAATGACGAAACTTTTGAAAGATATACCATAGGGACATGCACCGATTTCTTGAGGGGCCTTTTCCACGTCGTATTGCCTCAAAAGTTTGCACTTCGGCACAGCTGACTTCGACATTCTTCGACAACTTTTACTAGCGTCAACCTTTGTTGCATACAGATCGTGTGTTTGATCGTGAATGATTTGTTAATCGCATGAGCGTTGTAGCGGAGCCGATTCCACTCGATGAACACGGTACCACTGAATCGAGCCATATTTCCAGGGTCTCCGGCGATAGAGCTGAGATATATAGGGCATGTATCCACCAATCCTGTGATAGCTGTGATACATCTTGAAGCTCGGTTCATCGGACATTTTGCACATAAGTGACGAAATACCGAAGCGAACAGCTTAGCCTTATATGCTGAAAATATAAATAGTGACAGTTGCATCTGCCCTACACATTCCTCCACCATCCAGGATTCCTGAAAATGAAAAATCAATTCCTAAGTACTTCACCAACTACCCCATTTCAGGCCTATACCAGAGCCAGTATGTGATGAAAGCACTCACATTAATTGCTCACAAACACTTTCAACGGAACTCTAATATTTTTGATTCAAATATTCCATGATATGCGGGATTTCGATGCTGTTTTGTTCGTCACGATGCTCTCGTCATTCGTAGAAGCGACGTAACCGAATTAATCAATTAGCCTTTGGGCTTTAGGTCTTGAATGCTCCTCACTTTCGTATCATCGCAGTGCATGTAACCCTGCAATAAGTTTTGAAAGTGCCTTTCATTCTCTTCTGACTAATAATATCGTATCATTTCATCAAAACCAACAAATTTTCTACTGTTACCTTACGCGAACGCACAATTACACAATTACAGAGTAGTGTGCTGCTTCCACGCCACCACTGTGCATAATCACCGCTCCCAACGAGAATTTTGCACACTCCATGCCAGATGCTAACGTCGCGATGCTGATGGTCCGCGGTATATGTTCTCTACAATCAAACACTCACATTATCTGCTGATAATGGAAAAAAACCCCGAGTATGTGCTAAACTCCAGCTTAATAGTGCGATCGCTTTATAACGCAAGTTTATATTTTCATTTGAACGCTGTTTATGAGACCAACCTGCTCTCATTTCTCGAAGAAGTGCTGCTGGCCGACCAAACCCCAGTGCGTCGCTATATAAGCGTACGTGGCGAGGATGCTGTCTTGCAGTAGATCCTCTACCGAACGCAGCCCGAGTCCTCCGCGTTCTCTTGGGACGTACAGCCGCTGTACGCAGCTGGCCTGGAAGCGGCATTTGTTGCGCTTCAGGATTTGTCGGACCTTAACGTCCAAGGTATTCGCCCTCCTTAGGGCTCCCAGAAGCTTCTGGACTGCTCCGTTTGTGTTGACCTCTTTGGGGATCAGGACAGTGCGTCCACGGCATAGCCATTCAGTGGTCACCTTGCCGGTAACTGCCCATTCGGCAATGATCTCTCCCAAGATCTTGCGGACAGCCGGTAGCGTTTTCCACCAGAACCCGTGTATGCTATCCGGCCCGGTGGCTCTCCATGGCCGCATCTTCTTCATGGCTCCTTCGTAATGCGTAATCACCTCCTCTCGATCGACAGTCAGACCGCTTGGGTATTGTCTTTGTTGATCAACCCTCCATTCGCGAAGAACTTGCACTTGATCAGGGTCCGAGGTGGTGTGCGTGCCGATGATCGGCCGCCACAACTCTATTACGGAATCCATGTCAATGGCGGGTCCATCGGTGCTCCCTTCGCTGGCTTTTGCTGTCACCATCTTCGGCCTCCAGCGGCCCTGCCACAGTTGTTGCCTCAGCTGTTCTGCCATGAGGGGTATAGTGCAGCTTCGCGCACTTGCTGAGGTTTAGCTGCAATCCAATTGCTTCTGACACCTCGGACACGATCTGCACTTGTCGATCGAGGTCTTCTGGATTCCTGGCATACCCAAATGTAGCAATAATCCAGAATAAAGTTTCAAGAACATCGAGCATAACCTGAACTCATATCGCTACTCGGAGAAAGAAGGATATTAGGGAATG